GGAACGACAGATATATAGATAGATGGATGGATGGATAGAAGGATAGACAGATAGACGGTAGACGATGGATGGATGGATGGATAGATGGATGGGTGGAACGACAGATATATAGATAGATGGATGGATGGATAGAAGGATAGACAGATAGACGGTAGACGATGGATGGATGGATGGGTGGAATGACAGATATATAGATAGACGGATGAATGGACGGATAGATAGATAGATAGATAGATAGATAGATAGGAAACCAGTCACTACCATTTTGTTCTGACCCCATTCTTTCAATCCCAACTTTCGTTTCTGCTACTTAAAATATCATAAATACAAAAACAAGGAAATTATTTTCTTGTATGTATGCTCATCGAACCATAAATGATTTTCTACTGTGACGTTCCTTCAGGCGCATACTAATTCAATTAACGTTAATCCGCATCAAAATCCTGAGATAACCATTCGCCAAACGGTGACCTCTTTTCCTCGCCTTTTATTTATTGCCAATGGAACAGTGTAATTAGAGCACCTTTGGGACGTTGCCCGTGGTAACCTCTGATCACAGCTCCACACACACAATAAGTGATGCGTCCTCTGGGGGCTTTCTGGCCTTGCTGCAGTGGGTGGGTAGTAGCTCTGGCTATTGATTTGGATGGTGAATGGCTGGTAAATCTCAGGAGAACCAATAAAAATAATTACGAAGAAAATCACAGACTTCTGATTTGCTCATGCATAATTGCATGGCAGAGTTAATAGAAGAGTGGCGTAGGTGGCATACATGGTCATTTGTGCCCAGAAGAAAATTTGAATGCTTAGAGGTTTATTGCTCTTTCATGGTTCTCAGGTTTTTTTTGAAGTATCAACATCGACTCAGATTTTCTCCTAAATACCCTTAGGGTAAAATAAAAATATAGATATATTTATGTAGTGAAGCTTAGATAATTTGGTAACTGATCAGAACACAGTTTGAGATATTTTCTGAAACTCTTGAGTTGATGTGTGAGATTACTTAGGTCTTTGCTTAGGAGAGTTGTGGTAGTCTTCGTTTGTTCTTATTGGTGTCTCAGAGAAACAGTTTAAGATTAAAGAAGTCCTGTTTGTGGGTGCCATGACTCCTGCAGCGAGGAGAACAGAGAAGATGAAGATAACTTTATGGAAATGTACTGTAGATGGCTCAGCAGTAGGCTCAGAAAGAAAAACAGTTCAAACTACTATTTCTGTCCTTCACCATCCATTAAGTGGTGGCATGATATGAACAAGGATGAAATTAGACCTCTCCCCATGCAGGAGACGAGAGGGAGGTTCTGCAAGTGAGCTATTGTTCTTAACCAGCCTGTAAACAATGACTAACATGACAGTTCACCCCCTCTAGGCTTTCTCATCCATAGAAAACACATCCTCCTCCTCGACTGATTCTGTAGGCTGCATATGGCGAGGAGGAGGAGACAGGCTTTAGAAAACTTAGATGAGATGGAGGTAGATGATGCTATTTCCATTTTTTTCCCCCGCTAAAATATACTTTCTGGAAAATGTATGTATATAAATTGCATCAGTGTGTTACATGTCATTTCAAGAATGATTATGAATGCATGAATCAAACTCGATTGGAATGTCCACGGTTTCTCACACGGTTTTCCACGCATCATGTGTGTGTTCCCCAGTCCAAATGTGCGTGCATATGCATATATGCCCTTGTGTGTGTGTGGGCTGGCTGGGGGGTCCAAGGGAAGAGGAAATTGTTCTTTGAATGGTGTGCGCTCAGAGACATAGTAAAGAGCACTCTCCCAGGCGGCCAAGAGCACTTGATTGTACAACAAGCAATGATCGCATTAAGAGAGGGCAGCAGGAAGAGAAAGAGAGAGAGAAAAACAAAGAGACAGAGAGGTGGAAGGAAATAAATTGACTTTGCCAGTGGCTTAGTCTGCTGATGGGAGAAAATATAGAAAAAAAAATACTTTTAATGTGCTACATCCACAAGTGTGTTAGGGGTAATGGAGTGTGGGGGGGTGGGTGGGGGGGATGTTGCGGTTTGTCTGCCTGTATGATTGACCCTGTTATAGTGGTCACTGTAAAAACAGGTTTTACAATTTCAAGAGTGGAAAACAGCAAGGTTTGACTGTTGTATATGTTGTATGTAGAGGTAAAAAAAATAGTGTTGGGCTTTCAAAATATGTAGCATAGTAAAATTAAAGTAATATTTTTCTTGCACGATACTAGTTAAGTTACTAGAATCACTACTTTTAGTTAGTTACTCCCCAGTACCTAGTCAAAAAACAATGGGCTACATTTATGCTATGAAGAGAATAATATTCCCTTTTATTGGTTTATCCTCTATCTGTTTTCATATTTCCTTCTGTTCCTCACTTAACAGGGAAAAGCACAATTTTAGAAGCATCTGCTGAGCAAAATTTGTCCATGGATAAAAAGACGAAAGAAAAAAATACAGCAAGCAGATGGCGCCTCAAGGTTCAGACGATTAGAGGTTGCAGATTGGAATACAAATTGGATTAAAAGAAATTAGACTAATAAAAATCGAATCGCATGGCAAGTGCAAGCATATTCACCTCAGTCATGTAAAAGTCTCTGCCAGTGGCTGTCGATTAGAAGCTAAACAGATGCTCCAGTGAGATAGCAGTTAATATGTGTGTATATGTGCGTTCTTGGCGGACATGGTCCCACCATCATCCCCTTATCTCGACCCACCCCATTTATCAATGTCATAATGTTAATTAGTGGTTTGTTCATTTAGTCACTTGCGACATCAAACGATCTTGTTTCGGATTGCTGAAAGAAGGACATAAACATAAATGAGAAACAAAATGTTATAAACATTTGTGTTAATTCATAAAAAATTAGTATGTGTATAAACTGATTCTGGACTTCTTTAGATCCAGAAGGGCATATTCTCTGCATGGATACACCAAGGTTGCATCAGGTCGTAGTAAATGCCCTGACCTTAAATGAGTTTGACACCTCAGTTTTTGAGGGATGCAGACTGTCAATAGGGAAGGAGAAGGAGAAATGCGAGAGGCAGTGAGAGAGCAAAATCAGTGTATCTGCAAACTTCAGCAGAGCTCGGTTTCATAGTATGTAGCACAGCTTAAACATGAAACCTGGAGAGGGTACAGGATAAGATCTCGCCCTGTCAGTAGCTAGTCCCTTGTGTGACCCCCAAGTCTGCACTGGGTCCTGTGTGTGAACCCACTTAGATAGCACACAGCTGGAATGATCACTAATCAATGAGCGGGAAATGGCAGGAATTAGCACAAATTAGGTGAAGTGGGAGTCCTCGCTCCCTTTAATGGAGTCCGTACTGCACTGCAGGAGAGAATGAACTTTTAGAGCACACTAACACATGCTAGACTCAGCAAAACATATTTGCATACTAACAAACAAGCTTGCTTATCTGCTATGTTGTGTCCTGGTCCAACAGGTAAGAATAGGCAGCGTGGATCTCGCATTTAGCAGTGAACCTAAACACCCTAAATAAATGTTATTTTTTACTGCAGTTCCAGACATCAGCAACCGAAAGAGTTTAGCACCGCAGTGAACTCTTGTATCAGCACTGCACACCTGCCGTCCCGAGAGAGGACACGGCCACCTTCAGCTCAAGCTAGCTGTTGCCACTGGGGCTCTCATAGCGTAGGAGGTCCAGTCTGCGCTCTGCAGTGGTTTATGTTGAACAAACGACTAGCGAGCAGCTGTTTTAGCAGTGCTAAACAAACAAAGCTGCACAGAGCTGTGTGCTAGCATGCTACTCTCTCGGGAGGTTTAGCCACTAGCAGTGCCTAGAAAAAGCTAACAAACATATTGCATTTAATTTGAATATGTAACTTCTTGGTCTTGTTGATAATCTTGCGTTATGCTCTTTTTTTTTTTATTTCTCTCTATGAAACTTGGTCATTATGAGGCCCACAGTGTATGTTTTTTGGTCCCCACAAAGATGCCTGACACACTTCTTATACTGAACAATCATATGCTAAAACCATATCCCCTTCCCCTTTGCAGTTACTCCTAGTGTTAAGCGATTCAAATCCCTAAAAGAAGTAAAAAATCAGCATTTACAATCTCAAGGGTGTTTCCAAGCTAGCCATGTGCTATTGAAGCGTATAAAGCTTACAGCATTCATCTGATGGCAGCGGTAGCGGCTCGGGCTTAGCATCTCTTTTTGGCCGGGTTTTGGGGGGATCAGCGGCTGCTTTTGTCCCTCTTTGGCCCGTGCCTTAGTGATGTAAATGCAGGGTGGCCTCTGGCTTCTTATCTCTAAGGTTAAGGCTCACACTGCTCTTTCCACAATCTATTATCATAAGGGCCAGACTCCTAGCGTGGGCTGCTAGCTTTATCCATACCAAATGCAGGGCCATGCAGGGGAACGTTCAAGGGATTAGCATTTTAACACAGTGTGAGTCTAAACTCCTGAACCTCTCTGTCACAGAGGGCAAGTCCCCAATGGCTTGCCAGCTCACTATGCGGCACCCTAAATTAGTGTGCTGGATCAGAGAGCTGGGTTGTGTTTTGACATGGCTTTTCTTGGCTCAGAAACATTGCTTTTGTATGCTCAGTGAACAACTGGCAGTAGAGATAAAGGATTGTTTTAAGGGAGTATTTATTAAGATTTTCCCAACTCAAACCTTACTTTTTCTGGCTTAAAGGTTCTTTGGAGTTTCAAAATGTTAGATTGTGATTGCCAAGACCAGGGGTATCCAGTCCTGCTTCTGAAGGGCCACTGTCCTGAAGAGTTTGGCTCCAACACCAGTTAAACAAATTTAAACCTTATCAAGGTTTCCAGAAAGACTAGAAGCTTCCAGACAGGTGTATTTTGGCATAAAAATGAGCTAAAATCTGTTTGACATTGGCCCACCAGGAACAGGATTGGACACCCCTGGCTAAGACCAAATAATTGGTTTGTTGCAGTCTTGTGGAAGCTATATCATGTTGAATATATCATGATATCATATCAACCAAGGTTGGACCTGACAAGTCTTCCTTTTTCTCTGTTTCCCCAGGATCCCGTCTACGGCAGGAAGATTCTCCACCTCGGATCGTAGAACACCCCTCCGATCTAATTGTATCCAAGGGCGAGCCAGCCACCCTAAACTGCAAGGCAGAGGGGCGGCCCACCCCTACTGTGGAGTGGTACAAAGATGGAGAACGAGTTGAAACCGATAAAGATGACCCTCGATCCCACCGCATGCTCCTTCCCAGCGGCTCGCTCTTCTTCCTGCGTATCGTACATGGCCGTCGAAGCAAACCTGATGAGGGGGAGTACGTTTGTGTGGCACGCAATTACTTGGGGGAAGCAGTCAGTCGAAATGCCTCACTGGAAGTAGCATGTAAGTATGTGATTTCTTTAACTATTTAATATTTAATTATCTTGAGACACAGTAACAAGCAGGGTTGGAGAACTTGTTTTTTCCATAAACCCCGTGGACCAGACTATACCTTAATGTTCCTAAGTGTACAGTTACACAATTCTGCTTTTAGAATACCACAACTTTTGCTTCATAGAATTGTGATTTAGTATTGCATCTGATGGATTTTGGAAAAGGCCTGATTTCCCTAGTTCTAAAACTATCAGTGGGAACTATTTTGCAGTTGGCTTCTTACTTTAATTAGCTCTACATATGTTTTAGCAAATCTTAGAAATATCAGTCTGTTTCAGGACAATCTGCCAGGCTTGTAGTTTTCCCTTCTGTCTGAGAAATGGAAATGATAGGGCATGCCAAGGAAGTGCAGAGCGATAGACTCAGTTGAAAGAGAATGCTATGTATGGAAGGAGGGTGTAGACACTCTACACAGGAAGGCAGAATCTGGGAAGGGGGCTTATTGACAACCTATAGATGGTTTCTGCTTTGAAGATGGGTCTCTGTTGGGTTGACTTGCATTTTCAGAGAGAGCACATCCCATGGGATCAAAACCCCAAGCTAATCAAAGACCATTATGAGTGACAGCTAACTTGTCCTCATTTGCTTTTCTACCAGCCAATGAGTATGCTATTTTAATGATAGGCCTTTTTGCTAAATCATTGCTGGTTAATGGACTGTTGTGGCCAATAAACTCTTTGCTAGGCAGACCTTGTGCCTATTGTCTTGGGAGTTTGTGATCTTTGTGATTAGTGAATACATTTCGGCATCTATAGTTGGTTTTAAGCCTTTATTTCTTTTAATGTGGCATAAAAGCTAGCAACGCTAGCTTAGCAGATATGCCAAAGCAAAAGTCATTAGAGATTAAGGAGTATTGGTCTTGCTCCGCTGAGTTTGTAGTCTAGACCTGAAGTCTAAGTGAGCTGCTATCTTGAAGTCTGTTTCAACCCCGAGCTGATCAATACTGCGTCCTCTCTTATGCATTGTTATGAAAATAGGAGCGATCCATCATGAAATAGGGATATGATGATAAATATTGAATGAATGGATAACTAAATTGGCTCTGTGTGCTGCCGCCAAGACCCTATGCAGTAATGAGAGGGTGTGTGTGTGTTTAGATGTTGGAAAGAGTAACTCTAGATGAAGGGATTGTGGGAAGGTTTTGAGAGACAGTAAATTTTGAATGCTGCTGCATTTTCTATTTTTAACCTGTAATTGATGATACAGTACGGTGATTTGGGTTAAAGGATAGAAATGCAGAGATGATGTTTGCATTTAGTTTTTGCAAAGGGTACTTTCAAGCTAGCAATTGCGGGAAGCTTTTCAGTAATATTTTTGAATACATTTTCTATCTTTAAACTGTAATTGATGATACACAACTGCGTTTTGGGTTATAGGGTATATATTGAAGGGTATAAAGGCAGTAAGTGTGTGTGTGTTGTGTGTGTTTTCACTCGTGTAGCTGGCAGGGTGTGTGTGTTTTCTCTGATCCTCTCAGCTCTTCCCAAGTGGTGGTGGCGGCCCCCAGGTGCTAACTGTGTGACAGCAGCTTGATCTATCGATTGCACTAAGAGGGGTCTCCATGCCTAAATGAAAATTCATGAAAAATTGATGAAGTCCCCGATTATTCCTTTTTATCTCCTCTGCTAGCTCTTGTATCTCTCTTTCACTTCCCCCTATCTGTTCTCGTTAGCTCTCTACGTTTCCAGCATGGCGCTAAGTCAGATGCTTTGTCTGAAACCTAATCTAAAAGGGCACTGTTTTGTGAATGAAGGTAACTTGTAAGGAAACAAACCGGTTTCTAAGACACTATAACGTCATCTAATGATCCGAAACAATATTCAGACATAACCAAGCAAACATTTTGTAGTCAAATGTTGATTCAAATAAATAAGTGCATCACACACTTTTTTTGTTCTTTCAACCAGATATTGGAATGCTTCCTACCTCCATATACAGCCTGCAAAGGCAGCATTTTTCAGGTTTTAGACACAGCCCGAGTTGACTAAACGAGTTTAAGTGAGCTGTAGGATGTTTTATGACTTTCAGGTGAGAAGTGAAGGGTCGCAAGGTTAGTGGGACAGAGGATACTAAACCTACAGCAGGAAAGAACTGTACTTAAACAAGACCCCTCAGCTGTGTTACGTTACCCGATTTCCACTCATGAAACTTCTCTTTACTGGTGAGTGATCACAGAAGTGAAGCCAATCTAAACCGATACAGCTCATGTATCGCTCCAAGCAAAATATGTTTCATCTGTCACATCGTAGAAATATTCTGAAGCGGTGCTGTTTTCTCAAGAAGTAAATGTTGATTTTATAGCCAGCTGTGTATATCTGATCTATATGAAATACTCCCAGACTCACATACGTATAAAACGTTCACCTCCAAAACAAACAGCTGGCCTTCAGTGACAAACTGAAAAATGTGGCGAATGTTCCAGACTGTTTTGTGACGTTCATTTTAGGGGTTCCGACCATGGTTACAAGCCCAGTACTTTTTCATCTTCGTGTCACAAGTCGTCTCCTGTTGCGATATATGGTTCTGTCTCTCTCTCTCCTTCTTATATGGGGTCAGTCCGCACCCCCGCAAGCTGAGTGAATGGCTCTGTTGAAACAGATTGCAGGCAGGCGTTCGCTGTGGACCACTGGAGCTGCCCAATCAGAGAGACCTCAAGCTGGGCTGCAGGAAGCAGAGAGAGGCCTGTGAATGGAGCTCGCTGCATTAATAATAACGAGGCAGATTGCAAGGAGGTGTCCGCTGAAGCAGGATTATCTCAAACGCTAGTCTTTAACAATTGACCATTAGTAATGCCACAAAGAAAATACACAGATCTCGTTACATATGTTTGTGTCCTTGAGAGCTGTGGAGTGGAGGTGTGAAAGGGTTAATTGTGTCACTATGATGATGCAAAGTGCTTATTTGTCTCAACACAATTCTTTGTTTCATACTTCTGTGGGGTTTAGCGCTTCCATGCTTACACCTCTTCAAATGGTGAATTTCTTCTTTTAAAAGTACCAAACATGTCTTTCCACTTACCTCAACATAAATTAATCCCTTTCCTGTCATTTATAAGGTCTTAATTAGAGCAGAAGAAGAAGAGAGTATAAAAGGTGCTGACAGGCCACAGGGATCGACTGGCTGAATCCCAATTCACATACATCTACTGTAGCCTAAAGGCACATAATTCATTGGTGATGCGTACATGCTTGAAATATATTAAGTACATATAAGGCCTTTTTTGGCATTACAGTGTTTACGTTTCAGAGAAATCAACTTCCTGTATGAATGGGATTCTAATAATTGTCTCTGCATGTTAAGCTGGGTGTAATTTTTTAGCATTTAGGCTAACAAAGATATATTTAAGAAATGCTGCAGCGGTTTCGGCATTAAATAATTCATTTGTTTTCTAAAACTGACTAAGGGTGCTTTCACACCTGGCCTGTTGCTTCTTTGTAGGTGCATTTTAAAAATGTTTTCCCGAGCAATCCTGGACTCCTGCTCAAAATGATAAATTATTATAACGACAGCTACAAAAAAAAACAAAAACAAAAAAACAACAACAACAATAAGCCCGCAAAGCTGTTATCGTTCCATCCTGACGGATGACATGCGTGACAGCTCAGTGGCCCGGAAAATAAACCGTGGAACTTTGACCAATGAGAGAACAGTTTACTCGCACATGACATGTATTAACAAATTTGGTCCGTTTAGAAACTTTGCCACGTGAAAGCGAACCGCTCCAACAATAAAAAGCAACATTGTAATAATTTGAATCCCTGTTTCGGAACAAAGCAATCGATCTACAGGTGTGAAAGCACCCTAAGTTGAATAAGAGCATAAGGGGTTGTGGGAAATATTAGCCAACTTAGCATACACTAACAAACTTTGCAGCATGCTAAACTAGAGAACACTGTTTACCATGTGTTTATACATGATTTATGTACTGTGGGGACATTCAAATTTTAATCTTACATACTATATGGAAAGGATAGGAAGTGAATTTGGATTTTTTTTTTATCTTAAATGTAACTTTATTTGGCTTTTTTATCTCTCTCAGACAAGCTTTTACATACTCTGTCTCTCTATGATGTATATATGATGGATACATTTCGGTCTAGGCTGCACCCTGTAGCACTCCTTGCTTCTGCATGGGAAAGATATTTTGTTCTTTTGTTGCTATTATTCTTTCTCTGTGTCTCTATGTCTCTCTCCCACTCTCACTTTCTGCCTCTCTCTCATGGTCTTTCTCTTTCCCTTCTCGGGATAAACTGGGTCAATGAGCAGGTTCATAAATCATTGTGAAAACTATGTCAGACTGAGGCAAGCCCTGCTTTGAATAAATTTGCCAAAGTGGTGAAATCTCTGGTCGTAGCTTGTGTACGGGCGCTATGTGACAAGCCACACCTGGGGCACACAGTCATCCAGGAAAATGTTAATTAGCCCCCTGTATCTCTTCTCAGGTGGAGAGATGTGTGTATTATAAATCCGAGGGCAACAAGCTTGTTGAACATGGGGGCAGTAATTAAGCATAAAAGGTGTGAATGTGTGTGTGTTTGTTTCTGCTAATGTTCTGCACTAATAACAATGTGAAAGTGTGTATGTACTTTGAATCTTAGCGACAAAAAGTGCTGTTTCGTTCACTTGTAACCTTTAAAAAGTATGCAAATGAGGGAAGGGTGAAACAGATGTCGTTGCTGGTTTGTTAAAAGGCCACCAGTCTGGGATTGGCTAGTATGTTTGAAAAGGTTCTTTTGATACGCTTAAGCGTGGCACTTCAGCAATTAAGAGTATGGTTAGGCAGCATTTGGAACTGTGAGATGTAATTAGTGGAAAAATGGTGCTTTCTTGTGTTAAGCTTTTCTGTTGCGTCTCTAGCTGTTTGACTGTGTGTCCAGCATCAGTAAAATCTAATAAAAGAGGATGAAAATAATTGAACACACACAGCTAGTAGGGGTGGGTGGTATGAT